ATATAATATACAAGTTTCACTTTTTAAATGGAATTACTGAAATCAATCTACTTTTTCATGATATTCTAATTTTATGACCAGCACCTGTATATAGATATATTCTATATAGATATACATATTTAAGGCCTGTTGTAAGTTCTACAATACGTTTATAAGGCACACTAGAACCATTTCAGTTGATGACGACATCGCTACTCATGCGTTCCACTGGGGAAAATGTCGCCCGTCAAAGTGACGGCCAGTGGGAGATCTAGTAGCAGAAATCTGGGAATCCTCGTGTTAAAGAATCTCGTCAGCCAAGATTTCTGGTTTTTGGGAGAAAATCTGAACGGTTTTCTTGATTTAAGGGCCGCACTCTGTTTGGGTTGGTCCCTGTAACCCAGCCGTCCCTTTAGGGCCCTTCTCATTTTCATTTGGCTCCCTTTGATCTCTTGTTTTTTGTTTTAAATAAAGTTCTGCTTTAGCTGTTCTTATCTAGATATCATCGCCTTTATTTGTAGGTGGTGAGATTTCTGTTGGAGTGCAACGCCAAACTAAACAAGAAGGATCACTACGGAAACACGCCTCTGATCCACGCCTGTCTCCGTGGTAACCTGGAGACGGCCAGCACTCTGCTGCAGGTAGATGCTCGGACTGACACTCAGCAGCTGCTTTACAAAGTGATTTTTTATTTTTACTGAAAAATGAATGTGTTTACAGAGCAATGCGATGGTGAACGTGGCGAACCTGCAGGGCAACACGGCTCTCCACGAGGCGGTGCGAGGAGGACACCATGCTCTGGTGGAGCTGCTGCTGAGGGCCGGCGCCTCGCCCAGCCTCGTAAACAAGAGGCAGAGGACGCCGCTGGACTGCGCTTATGAACTGGGTGGAAAGGTAGCCGGTGACCTTTGACCTCTGTGTCCTCACGGAAATGAAACCAGAAGGATTTTTGAGTGTTGGGTTTTAGTCGTGGGCTTCTCGGTGGAAGAGCGCGTGAGTGGAAGAAATATGGCGGTTTTCATTTCAAAGTCGCAGCGATGATTTCGATAGTCTATGTTTCAACTTTACCACAGAATCGCAGAGAACAGGATTGCATATTGTGTGATAAAAAGTGGGATAAACTCATAAAAACTTTCACTAATTATACTTAACAATACAGAGTGGGTTATATACAGTGATGGTTGTGGTAAGAGCCTGTTTATAAAATGGATGGCATACATGCATTATACGCTATTACTTCATTTGCAATGGGAAGTGAAGTGACCTTTTTTAATTTAGTCTAGTAAAATAAATGAATCATTTAATAGGAAAGGTGCGGCAACATGGATGGAGCAAGGTGTTAGGTTCACAGCTGGGAAGCGATAATTTAACAGCCAGTTTAATAAGACGATCCACATGTGTCGGTCACATCATTAAATCAAACGCCATGGGGCCGGGGCCCTGGCATCATTAGATGGAGGAAAAATATCAGAAAATGACCTCCTGAAAATATGAGTGAGCGTGGAGCGATTTCACCGTAGCGGCAGGAAAATTAAGGTGAGTGTGGAGCGGATTTTAAGCGGAACAGAGCAACTTTGGTGGGCAGAGCAAATGAGAGAACATCCTTCTGAGCGGGAATCGTACTGCGTGGCGCACAGCGCCGCTCTGTTCACAAGCTCTGCTTGCTTGCAGCAAGGAGGTTCTCGGTTCGATTCCCCGCCCGGGGTCTTTCTGCATGTAGTTAGCATTTTCTTCCTGAGCATGCGTGGGTTCTCCCCAGGTACTCCAGCTTCCTCCCACAGTCCAAAAACATGACTGTTATGCTGCTTTCACACCAGACGCAGCAGGAGCAGCAAAATCGTGTCTACTGCTTCCTTTTTGCTTCTTGTACCAGTTAGTTCTGACGCGCGGCTGAAGCAGCTTTGCTGCTCTGGCTGCGCGGTGCAAAAGTGTGTCTGACGCGCGTTGGGCGGAGCT